CAATAAGAATAATTATCAAAAAGAACTTTAGGGTGGCCTTGATATTGTAAAAACTCATGATCATGGGGTGTTTACTTACAACATAAAGCTAACACCTTACTTCCAAAAGAATACTTCCAAAGAAATATGGGAGGTATGAAGTCTTGATGGCTGTAAGGAGTAGAGCCAAAAAAGTATCCCAAATCAATCACATTACTAATGATATCTTAAAGAGCTGCTAAAAGCCTTCAGATTAATCCTTTAGATTGATTCCAACCACAACACAAAAGTCAAAACTTGGAGTAATACTATTATTGTAGTATTAGGGCCAAATTTGAATATCTCAAATAACTTGCTTTGAAGAGAAGGAATGCTAATTTATTTTCTTTGAAATTGTAAATGTATTTTATAATTCAACTAATATTTTACTATAAAGTCCAAAAAAAAGGTTGAAGCACGAATTGGACAAAAGTGAAAGAAGTTAATAACTAGAAAAGTGTCTACCAACTGCCATAACCTACAACCTAAGTAAAGCAAATGAAAGGTGATTTAAGCTTGCCTCTTTGAATGAAACATATACAAGTCAATTGCATTGATTAAAGATAGCTATTAAAGTGGATCATTAATATCAAAACTGAAGCTCATTAGGTATTGTTTGGAGAAAGTAATAATCCAAATTATAAGTCTTTAGAGTTGGATTTGTGTATCTAAATATTATAGGATACTATACCAAGGAGATAAAAGGCATTGGAGAGAAAAAAAATAATATCCAATACATGGGATGATTGAGCCTCATTCAAGTTGGACAATATACAATTTGAATCAATTGATCATCATGGAAACAAACACATGTCATTTTTGGGAGTTTTGAGATGATCTTACTATAGCATGATTTAACAAGAACCATTCTATGATTAATTTAGAGATTGTCTAATATTATTAAAAGATCCATATAAGAGTGACTAAAGGTAAAGTCTAGAATATATCAATTGTACAATACTTATTGTATGTTTTTTGGTGGCTCAATGAAATATTTTTTGTATATTTTTACAAAAAGTGTTGTTTGGTGTGGAAATACAACTAATTATGTTGAAAAAGTTATTTGCACAAATTTTAGATTTTAGTATTAAGGACCTCAATCCAAGTCTATTTTAAAATTATAACATTATTGAGATGCATAGAACAACCTATTGGGCTTACCAAAGAACCTTTAAAAGTGTAATTCAAGATAAAAACTTATTCATTTATCTATATTTTTGTAAAGTAAGTTGTTATTAGGATAGTCTCTTATATTATATTTTTGGAGAAATAGAATTGGATAAAGAAACAAATATGTGGAGATTACTATTATAATAATAAAAGCTTAAGTTTGATTGATATCCAATGCGAATACCTATCCAGTTATTTGATGCAATTTGAAAAGAAAAAGTCTTTAGTATTTTAAACTTGAGATTGGAGTATCACTAATTACCATTGAGATTTGAAGACAAGGATAATATTTTAGAGAACAAATAATGATAGAAGAGATATGTTTTTTTATCATAAGTTTTTACCTTTTGGTTGAAAAAATGTTCAAGTAAAATTCTAATGCATTGTGAATGAAGTCTTGAAGAAGTTTTTATTTACTTTATGATATATTTATGATATAATAATTTCTAATAATATACTATAGGAGTATTTGAAGCACTTACAAAAAGTCCTTGAAAGATTGTACTTATAAAGTCTTTACTTATTTCAAGAAAAAAAAAAAAAAAAAATCTATTATAATTAATTACATTATCTAAGACATATGATTACATTTAGAAGATTGAAAATTTAAGAGGCAAAAGTAGAAGCATTGAAAAGGATCTATATATTTAGTAGTATGTAATGGTTAAAAGCATTCATGAAATTAATAAAGTATTATCAAAGATTATTTTGTAGTTTTGGTCTTTTAACTAAATTATTGAATCTATTTATACAACTTAATTAAGAATAGATGTAGGACCTTTCTTAAGAAGAATCAATTAAGACCTTCAAGATAGTACTAAGTTCAACACTAGTCTTGAGACAATAAGATGCTTACATTTCTAACTCTACATAAATTGAAGTATGTTAGAAATTAGTATAGGATTGACTCAAAAAGATAATGATAGAAAGGAATATGTCTTTATATATGCTTTATAGAGCAAATTTTATCCAAAATCCAAGTACTTATCTTATAAGGATAAATATTTAGCTATAATATAGATAATAGCTTATTTTTTCTTATATAAATATAACCAATATTTTTTTACTTGTGACAAATCATCAACCACTAAAATAGTTGAAAGAATCTAATAAATTTATTGGAAAGCTAATTACGTAGGTTTTATTATAATAAGACTATGATTTTAAAGTAGTTCACAAGACAAAATTGTAAAATTAAGATGTCAATGGCTTAAGCTATAATTTAAGTCTTATGAATGAAGACTTGATTAAGGTAGCACAATACTTTAAGCCAAGGATTATTGCTAGGATAACATATTAATTCTTATTTGGCTTAGATAGAAGAAAGAATTAGCCAAGTTATAAGAGATATTTATAAAGATGATCTAAATGAGAATTTAAGTTAAAAAGTGCCTTAAATCAAATATAGTCATATGAAAAGATCAATGGATTCTATATTCTCTACAACATGGAGAATTTGTATATGATACCATACCTTATATTTCATTGTAAATGACAAAAAAAAGATAATATTGTAAAAGCATCTCAAAATAATTCAAAAGTCTAATAAAAAATTATACTTTATTATAAATTATTAATTATAATTTAAGATATAGGACTCAAATTTTAAATTTGATACCTCGAAATACAAAATACCTATTTTATTTTTTTATTCTACTTTTTGATTAATACTGAGATTAATATATTAGGCTACTAAACTCACTTTAAGCATATAAGTCTACTTTTTGGTCAATTTGAGTTGTGTAGAGGTTACATGGGGTGTAGCAATATCAATTGAGGATGTAGCATTAATAATTTTCTTAAAATATATGATATATAATTTTATTAATTTAAAGTTTATTTATTTATTTTTATTTATTATTTTTTTAATATTTGTATTAATTGATGAAGATCAAAGAGGTCTCACAAGAATATTGTACTCTAATATTGTAGTATTTGTATTATATAAAGAATAAGGTGCTTTATTATTTTTTTATTTTATTAATAATAATAATAATAATAAAATTTGAGACATATATATTTTTTTAAAAAAACATCTCACGTCCTCTTTTTCCATAAAATATTCATTATCTTCCTTTCAACTACTATCCTTTCTTAAAACCAAGTAAAGAAAAAAATTGTGAAAAAAAGAAATATATTGTCATGTGGTAACACAACTATATAGTGAAAAATAAAAATATGGATGTTACTATAGAAGAACCTAGTAGAAAGTTGTAATAGAAAAATAAGAATAAATGATAGAAAAGAAGTGAAAGATTTAGTCTTAATATTGTCTTTTATATAAAGAACTTTTATTTTCATTGTAGAGGTATAAATGAGCCATATCAAAGTAAATGAGATAAGAAATTGATATAGGCATGTTTAAGAGAGAGTTAAAAATAGATTAAATAAAAAAATTACCTCAAATTATCAAAAATTGATATTTAGATTTAATTTCCAATATTTGGGTGAAATTTGAGAGCAATTCAATGATTCAAGAAGGAGATATTGGTACTGGAAGTTTAGAATTTAATTTGGAATAGGAGGCCATCCAATACCCAATTGGATTATCTTACATTTCTCTCAATTGATAAGTGCGATCAATTTCATCTTTCTTGTGCCTATTTCTAACTAAGATATTAAGAAGTGTGCAAATTTTGAATTAATATCAATAGTTTGATCATTAATTGTTGAGGTTTCAATCTGCTATAGGATTTGTTAAGAATTTGTTTAAGATTTTGATTTTGATTAGGACTTCTTTAGAATTTGTTTAGGATTTAGAATTCATTAGGGCTTCATTAGGATTTAACCTAAGATTTTCTTGAAGTTTAATTAGGGTTTCAATTAAGACTTGACCCAGGATTTAATCTAGGATTTGATTAAGATTCAATTAGGATTTTAATTAGGATTTGACTTAGGATTGATTGAGATTCATTAGGATTTTAGTTGAGGTTAAATAAAGATTTAATTAGGATTTATTTATAGCTTCTATTTTTAGTATTTATTTAGGATTCTTTATTATTTCTTTAAAATTTTCTATTTCTAATATTTCTTTAAGATTATTTTTTATTTCTTTAAAGATTTATTTTTATATTTCTTTAAGATTTCTTGTTATTTTTCTTTGAGATTAGTTTAGGACTTCTTTGTGTTTCTTTTATAACTTTTGTTAAATTTATGTTGGATTGGTCAAAGTTTGATTAGGATTATTAAGGTTTACTTAAAGTTTATTTGAGATTCTATTAGACTTGGTAGAATTGTTGTTGTATTTCTACTTACTTTCTACAATTAGGTGCCTGATGTATTTTCAAGCAAGAACACATGTAATATGACGATATTATTAGTTAGTTATCTACAAAGAGATCATATGGGGGTGTAACAATATCAATTGGGGATGTAGGATTAACAAATCTCTATTTTCAATACAATTGATAAATTTAGATCTTCTAATATACCAATAGTTGTATGTTTCAAGTATTAAATCCTCCTTGTAACACTAACTCAATACTTAGATTTCTAAAAATTCAACCATCATGGTCCTCATCAGCAAATAAAAAATAAATAAATAAATAAAATTGTGAATGTAATTATATAGTGATTTGTCATGGAAGCAGCCCCAGGGCAACCAACCCTCGGGTAGCAGAGCTCCAGCACCACCATAGGGCAGGCAGAAAGAAAGGTCAAGTGGATAAATGAATATGGAATAGTACATCTCAACATCGTATTTATCTCCATCTACATTAGCCATACTTAGGAATTCATTGGAACAACATCAATAATTGGGCCCACTTATTGATGCGGGAGGGTTTGGCATCTAGCGTTCTGTGCCTCGCATTGCGTTGAATTGCACTCTAGATTCTTCTTTGTTTCCATGGCACTCTGCTCGTAGGAAATGAGGGAGGTAGAAAGCAAAAAAAACACGCGACTTTGCTGGGTTTCCATTCTTCTGTAGCAATCGCAGCTGTGATGACCGACTGATTCCCCAGGCACCCAGTTCCATGTTCGAGTCTCTGGAAGGACTTCCCTGCCTTGTCATCCGGTGTTTTCCTACTTGCAGAATTTCTCAGTCTATCAGTCAAGTGCGAGGAGCTGTGAGCGTATGATCTTGCTTTAAACTCTGCCATGTCTAATGCACGAGTGACCTTGCAAGAGCTGGTCGAGAATGGCCATCTCAACACAGTTCCTGACGACTTCTTGGTTTCTGAGGAGGATCGGGTGAAGTTGGAGGATGGCTCCTGTAGTCTTGAGCTGCCTGTCATCGACATGGCTGGGATAGAGGGAGAGCGCCGCGGTCTTGTAGTGCAGCAGATCCGAAGTGCTTGTAAAGAGTGGGGATTCTTTCAAGTGAAGGACCACGGCGTGCCTTTGTCGTTGATGAAGAAGATGCAGCAGGAGCTCCGCCAGTTCTTCGATCTTTCTTACGAGGAAAAGAGCAAGATTCGGGCGAAAACTGTAGGAGATTCTCTTCCAGATGAGGGCTACAGTGATAGAATGAGCCACAAAGAGGGCAGAAGTTCCAATTGGAGTGATAAATTGCGTCTGTACACGTTGCCTGTTTCTGGGCGTCGATACGAGCTGTGGCCCACGCATCCTCCAAGTTTCAGGTGAGCTAGGTGTTGAACACCATGAGATTTGTTCCAGAAGAGGATTTTAAAGACCTTGTGACCAATTTGAGGATGCGCATGCTTGCAGAGAAACAGTGGAAGCCTATGCAGAGGAAACAGACAAGCTGATGAGACGAATCTTGGAGCTCATCTCTGATAGCCTCGAGTTGGAAACCTCTCACCTCAATGACTACTTCTCCGGAAAATACCAGCAAGTGTATCAAGTGAATTACTACCCTTCCTGTCCACAGCCGGACGTCACCATGGGACTGAGGAAGCATTCGGACAACAATGTGCTCACTCTTGTGTTGCAAGATGGCAATCCAGGATTGCAAGTGAGGAAGGATGGACAATGGATCACTGTGAAGCCCGTGGAGGGATGGTTCGTTGTAAACGTTGCAGATCAAATTGAGGTAAATTGCCGCTCATTTTAAATCATCTGATCAAAGTCACATGGGAAATCATTAATCTGGAAAACAATATCTAAAAGTTTGGACCGAATACAGTGTGCGTTCAAATACGCATTAATCAATAGTTGGGTAGATTCAGAGTTTCTTCGATTTTCTTTAGTTCAACGTTGACTTCATTCATCGACAGTGTTGGAATATGCTCCATTACAAACAAAGTGAATGCACCCTGTTAAAGCCATTCGGCATTGAAATCCTTTTTGCACTTTCATGCTGCAGCTTTTGAGCAATGGGAGATATAGAAGTGTCGAGCACCGTGTGTTTGTAAGTTCAAAGCCTCGCATTTCACTTGCTACGTTCCATGCCCCAACGAACGACACTGTCGTTGGTCCCATTCCAGAGTTGCTCGGTCCGAAGGAGCGTCCCAGGTACAAAGCATGCTTGTTTTCAGAGTTTAAGGAGTCGTTTTATTATGCCGGCTGGGCGAAAGCCCTTACTGGCAAAGGGCACCTTGATCACTTGCTAGTCGTTTAGGATTGACACTGTCGAATGTTCCAAGAGCAGCTGAAATTCACTACATTGTACTACAGATTTAATTTGAAGGATGTTGAACTGACCAGTCAACATTTGAGTCACAACAGCAATAAAGTTGATATACCGAAATTGTTTTGTGTAGACTAAGATTTACCATCTTCATGCGACACATATCACCAAGTTATCCCTTGATGCATTGCAGAACAGGCACCTTCTCGGAATTGTGTTTGTATTGCGATCAGAATATGGTTCTCCCTTTGTATGAACTGGTTTTTAGCTGAATTCTCATACTTGATTAATAGCCTTAACATTTCTTCTCTAAAATGAACTTCATAATCCTATCCTCAATAATTAAAAATTTGGTTCGAAATTAATTGCAACAGTTTCAAAACTCACATTGTGCATCACTTAACTTGATAGTAATAGTATAAAAAAGAAAAAGAAAATTATTGACCTAGATTATTATTCCAAAATAAGTTGATTGTTGCAATTCTTGCATTAATACCTAAAAGAGCTAAAATAAAAATAAAGAAAAGAAAAAAAAGAATGGTTTCTATCAACTCAAAAATGTAATATATATATATATATATATATATATATATTGTTAGCTCTTCTAAAAATATTCTTGTTTTTGTCTAAGTAATTTCTAATTAAAGTTTTAACTTCTTTATTTAAAGATAGAAATGTTATGAAATATTTAAAATAATATGATATTATTTATTGATATAATAAAAGTTTTAGGAACAAGGGACAATGAAATAAAAGTTTTGGAAACAAGGGACAATGAATTGGGAAGTGGAGATGGAGGCGGGAGATGGACAAAACTAATCATAAGATGGCAAGGGGGGGATGTGGCATTAATAGCTCCCTAAATTTATTTATTTTTATTTAGTTATTTATCTTCAATCAAATTAGTATCACAAAAGAAAGTTAAATTAAAAAATATTATTATTAATAGATTGATAAACCACCAATCTTATTATAATAAAATTTTTAATTCTTATTAATCCTATAAGCATTAGAAAGTAATATTTGAAGCAAATGAGAAGGAAAGAGGAGCATCCAAGTATTTCAAACTACCTAAATTAGCCTCAAACTTTCTATATTAATACCTTTAGATCTTTAAATGTTTAAATCAGATTTCCTACCTCTCTCTCTTTAAGATTCTAAATAAATATTTGTAGACATTTAAATACTAACTTCTATTTTATTTAATATATATTTTAGATTTTTTTTAAAAATAAACTTGTTTCTTGAAGGCCATGATTTTATTACATTTATTATTTGTCAAAAGTAATAGAAACACATCCAATTTCACATCTATATTTTAAAAGTTTAATTTAAATTCTTAAAATTTTATAAAGATATGAAGGAGCCTTAAACTTAGCTACTTAATTCGGATGATGGCAAGATATTTATACAAATGTATAGTGGTAATTTTAACATATTCAAACACATTACCTTTTATTTTTAATCTTCAATTAAGTCTATCTTACAGTTTAAACAATATATGTTTTAGTCGAAATAGATTTTTTTGACTTCTAAAAAACAATCACAAAATTTAGAATAAATTAAAATTATACTCCTAAATATGTTTTTTTATATATTGTTAATCAAATGATATGATATCAAGTGTCTCTAGTTCATCAAGTACAAGAATGATTTTCTTATTCTTCATATTTTTTACTTTTTTTCATTCTTTTTTTGTTAACATTTTAACCAAGTTATAATATACCAATATACAAAATGTACTAACATCAAAACAAATTGGTGGTTGACTTCTCAATATAAACAATGTATATAGTTATTTTTCCAATTAGGGACAATCTTGACTACTTCCAAACATAAAAACTATGAAAAGTACTCACATAAGCCTTTAAATCTTTGTTTTCTTTGGTACAGTGAAAGGATAGTATGTCCAAATCATGACACAGTGCCACATAATAATATATAATGTGCGCCATAAAAAACATAATGCATAATGTTGTTTGACGGTCGTGTGTGGAAGTGCTTACAGAAAAAGGACAATTGTGTCGCATGTAAGCAGGTTGATGTAAGGAGAATCGTGCAACGTGAAAAAAAAGATCTTTCACAAATGTGCAGATAAGAAGTTTAACGCAAGGAGAAAACGTGTTTCCTTCTATTTACGTTCACTTAAACGGCATTGGCACCAGGTTGGTTTCCATGTCATAACATTTTTTGTGAGTCAATGCTATGATATTGAATCCTATATTGATTTTCATTTTTTGTATTACTCGTTGAGAAGCGTAGATTGTAGGTCGCTCTTCAGATGGGTGTAATGCTATTTTTAAACAATCCATCTTGATGTGAGGCTTAGGGTTAATGGAAAAAGATCACTTTCTAGACTTATAAGTTGTGTCTGTAATCTTGGATGTGATTGGTGATCGGATGCAGCAATCATCTGTGGAAGTAGAAGATAAACAATTACTGGGTACCGTGGAGAGGCAACTGAATGAGATAGCACCGGTGGAAAGCAAATCATCTCCTCGTTAAGTTCATTATATGAATTTGTCCACCTTCAACTGGGATGAGGAGGCCGACAAAGTGAAGGTATAGACACGATCTGGTGTTGGAGTGATGTTTGGAACAGTGACCACGATCTGTTGTTGGAGTGATATTTCAACAAATATCTGTTGAAATATCACCTCAAGTCTTCTCATCTTCTACACAAGAGTTTCAGGTTACTTTTTTGTGAAAATGATCCTCGGGTTTTATCCATCTTGTAGCAATTCGTGGATACATGGCCGCGTCGACTCGATCCTTCGTAATAGTGGTGTCGAGAGTAGGAAATTCTTCTTTTGAGTTGTAATAAGGTCACTTTTTCCTAGTTTTTGGAGAAGCTGCCTTTTTCTAAATAGGTGGTTTTGTTTCTACGATGGTGCTTCCTTGCTGATGTGAAAGCGCGTTCTCATTTTCTATCTCATGTTGCATATCTCATAGCATAGGAGCTTTTGAAAATTTTCGTGCTAAGGTTGGGGTTTTAATTTGATCTGGGAAACGGCTTGCAGATACACATCTCTTTAAAGGGTTTGACACATGAGAAAGTTGAGGTTGATATCTAAGAACAATCGTTCAATTTGAAGATTCAAGGTGTGAATGACATGAACTACCAGTTTTATTAATCCTAGATTGGCTAAGAAGATTGTACCATCGGGTTGGAAGGTTCTCCTGAAATCAACAAGAGTCATCCTCACACTGAAAAACGCTGATTTTGGCAACCGGCTTGAACATACAAAGAAGGAAGATCAGGTAATGAGTTGTGTTTCTGACATAAAATGAGCGGATATATTACTTCTTGGGTTACGATATTTCCCACTTACCATCGCATGATGTGTTTGTTACAACAACGCACTCAATCTATGCTACTGGATCACTAAACCTCGACGCTTAGCATGGCTGTGTTAGATAAAGTACTTGCTAATTATCAAGACTCTCCTGGTCCATTGAAATGTGTGTAGATAAAAACCAAGAGTGGGCTTTTTTCGATCGTCGTCCGTTACTGCTGTTGATGAGCAGAGTAAAAATCGATATCTAGACAAGGACGCAGATCCAAGGGGCAGGTCAGATGGGTTTGATGAAGATACAATGTAATTACATCGTTGTGGGTAGTCTGCTTTGTTTTCGTAATTATGTAACTGCGTCAAGGAAGCTGTTTATATGCAGGGTACGTGATGGTCGAACTCTGTATAGATACATGTGGCATCCTTGATGGCTACTTTTGAACCTGTTTCCTGTTTTGTGTCTAGAACGATTCTATTCTTTCATGTTTTAAGTTCTCCATCATACTCATTGTTTTTACTTCTTAAAAACATGTATGAAGAGGGTGATGAGATGAAGAAAAACATAGTCTAGGTCTGGACTGATGCTCTGTCAGGGAAGCCCGGGGTGGGTTCTAGTTCAATGGATTCTTTCGAAGGCCTGAGTGTGTTTCCTTTCAATTCAACTTTATACCGTGTTTTCGCATTTGCTTCCAATGTTTTGATCAGTAGCTGGAAGTCAACCATTGTGAAAATTGATATCAGATGGTGGTTTAAAGGCACGATTTGAAAGTTATGAGTGTTCACTTGTGGCAGTTGAGTTTAAGATTTTGTGTTTTTTACTTGAATTTTGTTCACAACCGTGTCATATATTTTATGAAATACAAAGAAACATGTTTTTCTTTCGAACATGATGTATATTCAGTTAAGATATATATATATATATATATATATATAAATAAATAAAACTACTTACTTTAATCATGCTTTTCAAAACAAATATAATAGCCAATAAATTTACTTTGAAGTTTAGAATATTTATCAAGGTTGTTAAATGATTTTCAGCATAATTTACAAGCTTTTTATTTTTTTATACCACAAAGTTGTTAGTAGTTGACATATTTTAATACTATAAGTTTATCTTTAAATAATAAATTTATCTTTTTAGGTCTATTTTCATATTATATTTTTTTAAAATATTCTTCAATAACATCTATTTTAATTTAAACTGATATAAATAATCCGAGTACAAAATTTTTTATAAGTTGAAATTTTCTAAATAACATAAATTTTAAATATCAAATAATTATCTAATAAATTATGAATAACCCCAATTCCAACATGTTGAAGAATTTGAATTATCTATTAAGAAAATAACTATATAGTTGTTATGCATTAAAAAATTCAAAATTTTTAAACTATAAAAATAACAACTTTTTATGAAAAGTAAACCAAGTTCAATTTTAGTTTTTTAAAAACTAAGGTTAAAGAACGTGATTAGAAACTTTCATACTGTCATTGTCATGCAAGCATCCACATCTTCATTTTATCCACTTAACTTCTTCTAGTTTTTTTTGCATGTTTATTTTATTTTTATTTTTATTTTCCTGTTTAAGAAATTCAGCTTTCACAAAGAAAAATGAAAACCACTCTTTTTTTTTTGAATTTATACATAAAAACTAAAATAATATAAACACTTCATTATATCAAATCTTATTTAGTTATTTTTAGAATAAAATCTCAGATGCTTTTATAAGACACCAACACAATCAAATCAAAATAAACAAAAAATATATATTATAATAATAAATACATTAAAAAAAAATGAGTATTCAAAACATTTGTACCTTTACAATGTTTGTGATACTACTAGATTTCTGTTTTTATTTTAGTTTTATTTTTCTATCATTAGTTAAAAAAATTTACATTTTTTGTCCACAAACTATCTTTTAAATTTTTTTTATAAGAATACAATATTCTTGTACATAGGAAAATCTATCCATGTGAGATTTTTGAGAAGGGATTCACTTCTTGTTAGGCTTGTGTTTTCCATTAATTTCCAACTTGACTTAGATAATTGTATTAAATAAGAAATTTTCATTGCCCATTTTAGGGTTGTAAATTATTATTATTATTATTTTTATGTGTTTGGTTTTTATATTCTCTTAGAGCAATCCATCATTCTTTTTATTGAAGAAAAGAAGTCTAAAAGCTACAAACACTTAGCATCAGCAAGGATTGCACTCTAAGAGAAGTGTTGAGAAAGATGTCCTTTACTTCAAACACCCTTTACTTATAGGTGGAGTTTACATCCCAAGTACACGGACTTCATTTAGAGTCACCTTCATCCTTCTAACTAGAGCTAGATTCATCTTAATCTAGCCGCCACCTTAAAATCGTAGTCGCCACTATAGTAACTTCTTTTAATCCTTTGCTGTCTTTTGACTATTAGCAACTTACCATGATTAATCTTCATGTGGTGGTAACTTAGTAAGAACTTGCTAATCTTCAATACTCCCACTTTGCTAATTTACAAAAGGTTTTTAATTCTAATCTCTTAATCAAGTCATGATATCTATCCTTCACTAATGCCTTTGTAAGCACATCAGCAAGCATATCTTTTATAACATAATATTTCATACCTATTATTCCATATTCAATCTTCTCTCATATGAAATGATGTTGAACATCAATGTGCTTGATCCTTGAGTGGTGTTTTGGATTCTTGGCAATTGCAAGATATCCTTGATTTTCACACATAATTAAAGTTGCTTCTAATTGCACTAGACCAATGTTTTCTAAGAGTTGCCTTATCCAACATGCCTCTATTGCACAATGACTTTCTACCATGTACTCTCCTTCCATCGTTGATCTTGCAATGGTAGGTTGTTTCTTACATTTCTATGAAATGGCTCCTACTCCAATGAAGAATACATATCCCATTGTAGATCTCTATCATTTGTATCTCCAGTCCAATCTGCATCACAATAATCTTGCAAATCAATGTTCTTATGACCAAGGCACAATTTGAAGTCCTTTGTACCTTTTAAGTGCCTTAATATACTCTTTATCATTGTCCAATGCAATGGTCTAGACTTAGACATGTGTTGGCTTACAATACTTACTGCATATGCAAGATCTACTCTTGTGGCCACCATTGCATACATGAGTGAGCCTACTACTGCCTTGTATGGAACACTTTGCATCTCACCTTCAAGTTCTACAAATTCCTCATCCATGAGCTTCATCAACTTCAAATTTACCACCAAGGATGTTTCAATGGGCTTATACTCCTCCATGTTAAATCATTTCAATACTTCTTCAATGTAGTTGGTTTGATTTATTATAATGGTCTTGTTACAATGATCTCTTATAAATTCGACTTCCAAGCAGTAGTGCAACTCTTCCAAATCACTCATCTCATATTCCTTCTCTAATTTGGCCTTCATCTAATCCATCTTTTCCATATTATTAGCTAAGATGATCAAATCATCAACATAAAAGATTACAATCAGCAAGAACTCTCTAGATTGCATCACATATAATGAATGATCAACCTCACTCCTCACAAACCCTTCATTAACAAAGAAAGTGTCAATTTGTTAGTACCATGCTCTTGCTAATTTTTTCAATCCATACAAGAATTTCTTCAATTTGCACACAAGATGTTCTTTGCCTTATTATACAAATCCTTGAGGTTGGTCCATGTAGATGTCTTCTTGTAATTTTCCATTCAAAATGGCCGTCTTCACATTCATTTGGTGTATTTCCAAATCCATTGCTGCCTCAATTGCTACAATGGTCTTAATGGTGGTGAATTTGGCAATGAGTACATAAGTCTCATTGAAATTAATTTTTAGCAACTTGTGAATATCCTTTGGCAACTAATCTTGCCTTGTGCCTCACCACCACATCAATTGTATTTCTTTTAGTCCTAAACACCCATTTGCAATCAACATTAGATCGATTTTCTGGAAGATGTGTCAATTCCCATGTACTATTGTCCATAAGAGATTGGTATTCTTTTTCCATAGCCTTCTCCCATTTGATTGCATCTTCATACTTCATAGCATCAAACAAAGACAATGGATCAGCAGAAAGAGTAATATTTGCATATTCTTCACTTACTTGAGGGAAGATGTGATCCTTCCACTATTTATCACTTTGCCTTCTTTCTCTCAAAGGATAGCTCCTTTCACTTATAGAAGAACATTCACCTTGTTGTACTCTATGTTCTTTTCCAACCTTCTTCTCTCTTAAACCTTGTTGTTCTTATTAAATGGTTAGTATTCTTTATCATTATCATCATCCCAATTTTCAACATCTTCATTTCTTTCATTGATGGTCCTAGCAATTGTAGGAGCCTTCATCTTTTCAACCTTCTTTGGCTTTTCACCTTCATTATCTTCATTGTCTTTATCTCCTTGTTTCTTTACTGCATTCAAAAATGTCTCCACAAACACACTATTACTGCCACTTAGACACATCTCCAAGTGCCCAGAAGCACTCTTATGCTCCAAAAACTCAAAATCACGACTTTTAATGATCTTCTTAGTTTCCAAGCAAATTAGTCTATATGCCTTAGTACCCTCACAATAACCAAGAAACACACACTTTGTACCTTTTGCATCAAGTTTGGACCTCATACAATCTGGTGTTTTTGCATATGCAATGCAACCAAAGGTTCTCATATTAGAAATGCAAGGTTGTCTCCTACTCCAAGCTTCTTGTAGTGTCATTGATGCAAGAGCATTTGTTGGACACCTATTTCTTGTGTACACTACATTCACCAGAGCTTCCACCCAAAACTCATAGTCAAGGTTTTGCACATGAAGCATGCTCCTTGCAATTTGTCCTTTGAGTAACTCCATTTTGTTGTGGAGTATATAGAGTTGTGGTTTGTGTAGAAATTCCTTCATTCTTCAAATAAACATCAAATTGCTTAGATATGTACACACCTTTGTTGTCTGTACGTAGCACCTTGATCTTGCATTCACTTTGTTTCTCAACAAGTCCTTTAAACTCTTTAAACCTCCAAAAGCATTCACTCTTGGCTTTAAGAATGTTCTTTCTTGAATAATCATCAATGAAAGTAAAAAAATACCTTAATCCTCCAATACTTGTGTTCTTCATAGGTCTACATACATCCAAATGGACAATCTCCAGCAACTTGGTAGCATGTATTGCTACACTCCTTGAAAATAAGGTCTTTTGTTGTTTCCCTTGTATGCATCCTTCACATATAAGTTGTTTTACATTTTCGCTTATATTGCCAAGATCTAAGCCACTTACCATAGATTTGAGGTCTCTCATGTACTTCACATTCAAATGGCTAAGGTGACAATGCCATATATTCAACTTGTCTTGGTTTGATGTAAACTCAACAAATGAGGCTACATCCACTCCATTCACCTTTTTACAAATGAAGTAGTACAAATTTCCCTCTTTCAAGCCTTTGAAGATCTTGTTTCTAGTCAATGTTCTTACAAAACATCCATTCATATCAAATTGAACTTTAAAACCTTCCATTACAAGTTTACTCACTGAAAGTAGGTTTTACTTCAACTTGGGTACATGAAGGACGTTTTTGAATCTGGTCCTATTGGTTTGTACATTCATAACTACATCTACTATAATAGAGCCAATTCCAATGGCTTCACATATGCCACTATCTGCCAACACCACGTTTGATGCTGCAATAGCCTG